TAGGGTTTAGGTTTAGGGTTTAGCGCTTAGGGTTTAGGGCCGAGTAGGGCTTGGGAAAAGTGGGGGTTTAGGGTTTAGGGGGCACAGGAACAAGAACTCGAAGTCAAACTCCGGAGGCATGGTATGTACCAGGGAAGATCTGCCGAAGTGTGGACACATAGCTGCAGTGGGCCGCGGCTATAATATTGACTACAACTGCAAGAGCAGAGTCATAAAACTAACAATAATGATAGTATTAATAATAACCAAGCTGGGGAGGTCGTTGAACACCCCTTGAGTAGCTTACTCCTCCCGCCGAGCTTGCGGCGTTGTGCGTGGAGGCGATGAGTGCATTCGATGCAAGCCGCGAAAGCCATGTCCTCGTCATGTTGCCAGGATAGAGTCGGGTTCTTCAGCATTGGAGGTTCTGGGATAGTCGGGGTCTCGAGCAGTGATGGCAAGGAAACCTTTCCGTCCCCATGGTGCAATGTGCCGGTGATGCAGCGATGATGATGATGACGACGATGATGGTGCTGATGACACCGATATTACTGATAAGATTGTCAAGACTAGATCTGAAGGCTTGATGCGCTTGGTTTGTGTAGTAGATACAGAGAATCAAAGATGAGATTAGCACAGCGCGATACAACTCATGATGACGGGCATCATGCAAAGATGGTCACTACAATTCAACCAACGCTTCCCCTTCGATACTTGGACCTGCTTAATCTGTCAACTTCTGCCGCTGCTCTTTTACCTGCCACTCGGAGGGTTTGTTCTGGGGAAGTCCTCAGCGCCCCATGGACTTTTTTTGCAGCTTCATGTGCAGATGCTGCAGCTGAGCGCTTTGCACTCACAGCTTCTCTTTCGTGTCCTCCTGGTGATTCTCCCTCCTGCTGTTTTCCTTCCTCAGCTGGACCTGCAACTATTTGCCCATGGTAGGGACGATCCGAGTGACGTCCAGCACACACCGCAGCTGGTTAACTTGCCCTTGGAAAGACTTTCTGGTTGCTTTCCAGCTGTAGCCGGTTGGCCAGCCATGCTCCGAAGAGCTATTTCTGTGCTTTGCTGCTCATCCTATCTGCCCTAAAGTCTTGTCACCCCAACGTTCTTTTCACACCCAGAGTAAATGCCCTCAAACCTGCCAAGCTGGATCGATGTTCGTGAAGTGTCAACCGCTCAAGGATAAGGTCAACGCAGTCACTTCTCGATGTCTGAGAAGCAGACCGCAGCACAAGAGAGAGCTTTGCCTCCTGTCGCACCATCAGTAATGAAACTGAGCTACACGTCTGGAAGGTATGTGCCAGGCAGTCGAACGAACAGTGCAAATACAACTCGAGAGGATTGAACGGTTCAGGTCCGCAGAAACTAAAGGTGTAAACGGACCGTCGGTAGTTTCACCGGCTGCAGTTTATTAGTATTACGATTATTATTATTATGTAACATAATATGACATAATATCATATAATATAATATACTAACAATATACTAATATATAGTGTGCTTGCTGTGTAACTCGCAGCCTCCAACTCCTTGCTGCGCAAGGTGTCAAAGGGTATGACGAGAACCTGACGACTCGAAAGACACAGACTGTAGCTCCTGCAATGTGGTTTAGGGTTTAGGGTTTAGGGGTTTATAGGGTTTAGGGGTTTAGGGTTTAGGGGTTTAGGGGTTTAGGGTTTAGGGGTTTAGGGGTAAAGGAGGGCCAGTGGCTCTTCAAGTCCACCATACATGGCTGGAAGAAGAGAGACTAGCGCAAACACAGGTAGTCTGTCGGAAAGCTGAAGATGCAATGCTGCACCGCAGCCGTGAGGCTACATGCTGCAACTTTACATACCTCCTGTCAATATGCATGGC